CCCCCGCCGGCCGGGTTTGCTCCTGTCCAGGAGTTTTACAGAGTGGGAATGGCACTGTGGCTCAAGGGGGTCTGAGCCCCCAGGCTGGGCTTAGAGCCGTGGGCAATGCCTTACAGCGCCTTCCAACAACCAAAGCAAAGAATATGTTCCGAGACACCGAGGGGAGGGCGACCTTTCCTCTCACCTGAAGGAGGAACCCAATGAAGAGAAACGCGGACACAAGTTCTCTCCTTTTCGCATTATCTTTTGATGATAACGAGGCTACTGGGACCGGGCACACGCGTCGGAAACTTGCCCTTCGGGTTCGGAAGTCAGGGCACCATGGTCTGCTGAGGCCAAGGCATCCCGGTCCCTGTGGGCCGAGCAGGCGCCTGGTCATTTTAAGCCGATGGAGAGGATGCGTGGACTGGCATCCTGCTTTTGCTTTTTGTCCTTATGATTCAAGTCATTGATTTTCTTAGTTCCTGGGAAACTTGTTCTCCGTTCCCCACACCTTTCCATGGGAACATTGCATGCTGCTATGGCGCCAAGTGACATTTTCACATCTTGGAGCTAATTTGTATTTTGAAATCACTTTAGGACCCGTGGCGTCAGATCATCAGTATGTCTGTGCTGTGGCTGCTTCTGGGCCTCCTTGCCCTCACCGGTGAGTGAGTTTCATTTTCCCAAATGACCTTGGAGATGGAGGGATTCGCACAGGGTCCCAGTGGTACTCAGATACGTGAACCTGCAGTGGAAATGTTGTTTTTCCTTAGCTGTCCGCCAGCTCCCGGAGGAGTAACGGGCCGAGGAGCAGCCTCTCTCAGGCCCACAGGGGACAGGGGGAGGGCTCCTCCCGAAGGCGGGGCGGTCGCACGGCGTTGCCATTGGTAACTGCTCATCGTTTCTCTACAGAAACCCTTCCACCAGAAGTACTTGTTGAATTAATTAGTCGAGCATATATTTCCATGGGAGGGTTGAGGCAACTTACAACGATAAGACAAATGTAACTCAGTAGAACACTAGCACTGAGGGGGTCCAGGGGATGTGACTAAGCTAACCATCGAGGCGGACATAGTTGCAATGCTTGCATTTCAGATTTGGTCCTGTTTCCTTGTAGCTGGGCAAAAAGGGAAAAGTACATGCTTTTAGAGAAATAAAGGGAGGAAGCATAGTTCCTCAAGTAAAGCAATTTCTTTTCCTGGCTCTAAATTCTACAGATTTCTCAGATGGGGTCAGTCTTACATTCATTCACTTATTTGTTGACCTATTTATTCAACACATGTTTTTAAATTCCTATAAGGAATTTTGGGAATGCAGTATAAGGAACTTGGAGGGACATGTGATATGGTTAAGGAGCGTCAAGGAAGCAGGGAGCAATGAATGACACAACTAGCTACTATGAAGGGTATTTGTCACCAATGACAAAAGTAGAGTGTCCTTATTAAAACATAAAAATGGGCACGTTGACGCATTTAGTTTTGAGTATACTCACGAAAGACCATGTCATTTCATTTTCTCATTTCTCTTAGATTATTCATCAAATATTTTAAGAGTAGAAGTATGTACTCCAAAATACTAGTATTCTCAGATTCAACCCTATAAAGGTCTTAGAAGAGAACCTTAAACTACATTTAATAAACATGCAGAACACATATGATCATAAGCAATAGACCTGCACTCATTAAGATTTAACGATATAAGCTACTTTCATGAAAGAATAAAACACATCAAAAAGAGTAATCTAATAAGAAGTCCTTACAGGCTTCCAACAGTGGGATGATGATCTCAAGGGGCAATTTCTTGCCACCTGTAGGTATCTTATACCTGGCGCATGTGCCCTCCTTCCAATGTGCGTGGTGAATTCTCGGGAATGCCCTTCTCCTTAGTGGTCTTTGTGCAAAATTTCTCCTTCCCTTCAGTGCCAGGAATGAGTGGTAGTTAAAGAAAGCGAGAATAAAGGGGAAAGAGAGAGAGAGAGAGGGAAGTGGAAGGAGGGAGCCCCACGTGGAGACGAGGCCTCGAACCTCACCACGTGCCCTCCCCGTCTGCGGTCGGTCGTAAGCACCCACGCAGCTGTGCGCCGAGAGCAGGGAAGCCAGCTCCAAGTCACACTTATCAGCAGTCCCTTTGCTTGGGGTCTGGGCTGAGAGCCCAGGGAGGCCCAGGCTTTATACGTGTTTCTCCAGAGCAGACATAGTATCTCACAGACCAACAAGTTAGGGGTCTGGGAGGGAGAAGTGCTGAGAGCTCACATCCGATGAAGATAAGACCTAGCTTACAGGATGCACAATCTCTGATTTGACTCCAAGACACCCACCCAACAGCTCTGGACAACCCCAGAGCTTTGCAAGGAGACATGTGCCAGCAGGTCTTCTGCAGGGTCTGAGGTGAGGACTTAGTACCCAGAAGGTTCTGTGATGATTTCTTAGTCGCTGTACTGTAAACTGCAGGAGGGTTTCCATTGTGGAGTGAACGTCTCGTCGTCACAGATTTCAGTACAGCTATGTGTATTCATGTCGCTGCATTCACGGGCAGAGGGACGACCAGAACTGCTCTAGTTCAATGTCTTAGGTTGACATTTTCTCAATTTGTAGACTCATCTGAAAGTGGCAACTGGGGATGCTACGGAAACATCCGAACCCTCGACACGCCCGGGGCATCTTGTGGGATTGGAAGACGCCGAGGCCTGAACTACTGTGGTAGCTAGAACCTCTTTGTCCACCTCGCCCCCCTCCTCCTCTTCCTTCCTCTCAGAAAGTGATTCCTTCAGGCAAGGGTGGCTCCAACAGGACTCTGCCCCTGCCCTGGTGCCCCACACCGATGCCCCCAGGCATTCCCCACAGGTTTTGATCCTCTCAACATACCCTGTTGGTCCCCACTGTTTCCCACAGTCCCACCCTACGGAGTGGTGGAAAGAGCACTGGACATGGAGTCCAAAGACGTTGTTGAGTGCTGGCTCTGAAGTCCCTTAGCTCCCCCGAGCCTCTGCTGAAATGGGGATAATAGTACCTACGTTACAGTGTAGTTGCGAACTCCGGTCCGTCATGTGCCCGAGGGTGCTTTTGAAACCACAGAAGTGCTGAGAAGGTTAGGTGGGCTGCCGGGGGAAGTGCGCTTGGTTTTCACTTTGCCCAGCACTCTTGGTATTTCCTAAAGGGTTAAGCCCACATGATGCTGGGAGTCACTGTAGGGTGGAAAGGTGGGCTAGCGTGAGCACTCCTGTCAGGAAAGCTCTCCAAGGACTGCTGGAAGGGTGTGGGAGAATTCCTCCCTCACATCGTGTGCTTGTCGTAGCTGATGGGCGTGCATTTAACCGGGCAAGTCTGTTTGGATGCTTAGGATGGGGCCAGTGGGGTCTGTGCCCATGAGATCCTCCGGGAGGAGGCCACAAAGGGCACACTGCCTCAGGGGGTGCCAACTCAGGCTCAAAGGAGAATCTTCATCTCAGTTCCAGGAATGGCCACCAGAGGTCTCAGACCTGAACATGGGCTTCTCAGTCCTCAGCTGCTGCCCAGGGCTTGGCGTGTATTTTCTCTCTCCTTTTGAGCTCCCGTTTCCGCGTAAGTCACACCAAGCCCCACCTTCCTTCTGTGTTTGCTGTAGGAGTCCGTGCTTCTGAGAGGCTGGCCGAGATCGATATGCCGTACCTCCTGAGATACCAACCCATGATGCGCACCGTTGGCCAAAAGTACTGTGTGGATCCTGCAGTGATCGCGGGTGTCGTGTCCAGGGGGTATCCTGGCGGCAACCTTCTGGTCCATGGGGGCAATGTGGATGATGGAGTCAGGGTGGTGCAGGTAACCCTCCAGGTGGCCACTGTGCTGCGTGGCACAGCTCCAAAAGGGCACCTTGGGATTTGTTGTGCAGATGGTACTCCTGGGGCAGCCCCGCAGGCTCTCTGCCCGAGAGGGACGAGCAGCACCATTTCTGCTTCATTTTGAGCCACAATTCCTTTACCAAGTAAGTTAGGCCGTGTCCAGGGTGTCATCGTTGTTACCCTATTCTGGGTCTCTGGTGAGGCTCTGCAAGAGAAATACCATAGATCGAATCCTTGCTCTGATATTTCGTAACCACATGACCTTGGATAAAGCATTTAATCTCCCTGGGCCGCAGTTTCCTCGCCTAGAAAATGCCACCCTCAGCATCATTATGAAGATTCAGTGAAATAATGTGAAAAAGTAGATTCTCAGCAAATTCAAATTCCTTTATCCCTGTCTTTCCACATAGTTCTTAGTTCTGAAGGTCACATGCTTTTTAAAACTTTTTACTTATTGATTTTTTTAGAGAGAGAGAAAGAGAGAGAGAGAACGGGAGAGAGCGAGAAACATTGATTTGTTCTTCCACTTATTTATGCAGTCATTGGTTGATTCTTGTATGTGCTCTGACAGGGAATCAAACCCACAACGTAGACGTATCGGTACAACACTCTAACCAACTGAGTGACCCGGCCAGGGCCTCAAGTTTTATTTTTGCAGGAATCTGCCTCATAGGCTTCAGGGCGCTGGTCATAATTAACCTGCTGTGGAATTAGCTGTGCGGGGAGAATGGGTGATGGCAGGGGAGATGATGGGACCACAGTCTTTTCTATTACATGTCACATTGTGATAGTTGTTGAGAAACCTGTCAGTAGTGCAGTCTTTGCTTAAACTTTTAGGAAAAAGTATTCCTCAATGAACTTTAAATTGGCTTCCCACTAGTACTTTGTATGACACCATACAACTTAAAAGTATCCAATAATCTGAAGAATTTGGGCCTGTGAGAAAGTGAGTTTATGAGAAGGTTATCATTGCTGTAAAGTCACAGGGCAGTGGGAAAACGCAGCTTGGGACCAAGGACAGCCTGGGTGGTTGAGGGCCACATCGTCCCAGCCGCCCTGCTCTGCCTCCTTTGTAAAACCTTGTTCTTGGGAAAAGGATGAGTCCATCTCCTTTAAAGATGAAGAAAGAATTTCCCTGAGTCAGATACTTCTTCTAAATACGGTGAAACATATATGGAATGGTAACCAGGGGTGTGGGACAAAAGTTAGTGGTTCCTTTAGACCTTCGGATCGTCTGGAAGGATAATTACAAGTCCCGATAGGAAACCCTTTCTGAGCTGTCGGAGGGTTGGTGGTTGCGGCGTTGAAGGGTTAGGGTTAGGGTTAGGGTTAGCCTGCCTCTCGTCTCTCTGCTCCCTCCTTCCTTTGTCCAAATCTTGTTGCTTTACTGCTTGTCCCCAGGGAGACGGAAAGTGGCCTTCGTTCTTCCGCAGGAGGAGGAGAGAAAGGGAAGGGACATGAGGAAGCACTGACAGTAGGAAGCCACACCACCCGCCTACCCGGCTCACCTGGCTTCTCCTCTGCCCGCCCCCCTCTAGGACACTGGCCACTATGCCCCCACTACCTGGATCAGCGAGTCGCAGCTGTCACAGATGACCGAGGTCCTGACTGTTAGAATCAAAGAAATCCAGAGGAGGTTCCCGACCTGGAGCCCCGACCAGTGCCTGAGAGGTAGGGGGAGCCCAGGGTCGGCGCTTCACGGCAGGGGACAATAGGGACCAATGTAATACAGGTGCCAGATTCCCCCTGGCCTCACTGCTTCCTGGTGAGCACAAGGAAAGGGAATCTAAGTTGACTGCTGAGCACCCTGAAGCATTGAGGGCTGTGGGGTCAGCATTAACCTGTCTCGCCCTTGCAGGGGGACTCTGTGCCTACGTTGGAGGGCCCAGCTATGTCAGAAGCAGCCAGGACCTGGGCTGTGACTTCTGCAATGATGTCCTTGCACGAGCCAAATACTTCAAGAGACACGGCTTCTAACACTTCAGATCAACCCCAAGGTCATTTTCATGCAGGAGGCCTCATCTGTTCCACAGATAAAATGAGCCAATGCGCTTATAACTGAGAATCTGAGTTTGACCTGAAGGTTGTCAAAATAACATGACATACATTAAAGGAAGAGCGATTCTCTGCATCTTGTGGTCTGATGTGTGTATGTGTAAGTTAAGGGTTGTGTCTCTTTAAAGGTATTTCCGTGGAGGTAAGCTGGAATTCTTGGATTTCCATGAAATGAATCCTACACCTCATTGACTAGCATGGCCAGATTTAGCAAATAAAAGCACAGACAGCTGCCCTGGCCGGTGGCTCAGTTGGTTGGAGCGTCATTACATGCACCAAAAGGTTGTGGGTTCGATTCCCAATCAGGGCACATAGCTAAGTTGTTGATTCAGTCCCCAGTCGGGGCGTGTACAGGAGGCAACTGATCAATGATTCTCTCTCTAAAACTCAATAGAAAGACCACACAGATAGCTCAGTTACATTTGAATTCAAGATAAATAATTACCATGTTTTTTAAAATTCTCATGGAAGGATATGTTTTCTCTTAATTGATGTCAGAGAAAACGGAATGGAGAGAGAGAGAGAGAGAGAGAGAGAGAGAGAGAGAGAGAGAAACATCAATCAGTTGCTTCTGGTATGATCAAATCTGCAATCTTTTGGTTACAGGACTTTGTCCAACCAACTGAGTGAGGGCAATAATGACCAATTCTTTAAGGCATAAGTCCCATGCAATATTTGGAACACATTTGGGCATATGATATTTTACCTGGCAACTCTGTCATTGATTTCTGATAAAAATAATAGTTTCAAATTTAATTGAAAAATTTGATGAGGTAAAGGGTCTGCTGGGTAGAGTAGTTTCAGGAGAGGCACTTGGTAACTTTGCAGCATTAGTTTAATCCTACGTCAGTCTCTCTGCCCTCTAAGTTCACCTCCTTTCCTTTCCTGGACCACAGAACCTTCAACCCTCAACTTCCCCCAACTCAGCGGACCGATTCCCTTGCTTGGGGGCACTCACAGTGGTTCACAGTTGAAGCTGCCTGAGAGACACTGACCATGTCTCTGTTGGTAAATTACTTAATTCTGGGGGGTGTATTCTATAAAAGTAATTAATGTCCCATTCTATCAACTGTACAGTATCACTGCGTTGTGTCCTTCGGGAACAATTATCCTTTTAAGCAGAATTTTTTTGAAGCAACCAGTCTGTGTTCAGCACTATGTCAGAGTGCTACCCTCAGGAGCGGCTGAGTCATGAAGTGTAGTTGGGGACAACAGCCAAGCACACGTGTGCACAGGGTACAGGCTCAGGGTGTGTACCAGGAGACAGTGTGAGGAGGGCACCTTCTGTGTCAGGCGCCCAGGGAACCTGATTATGACCACTGATGCCCTTGACCTTCTCCAGGGCCACTTCCTTCTTGGTCTCCCCACCCTCTGCCTTCCAAGGCCCTCTCAGGGCTGAATCCAGCGGCAGGATTCCCACCGAGGAGAAATGACCGAGAAGACCATGAGCGCGT